TTTTCCCTGTCATATTCTCAAAGAAATTCCTCATAGGAATTTGGTAAGTGACAACAAAGCTGCAAAGAACAGCCCTTAAAGGTGGTCTGGTTGTGTCTCTCTCTCTCTCGCGTCGCCCGCAGGGTGGATCCCATGTGGCAAGTCGGTTCTACCGAAGATCCCTTTGTGAGTTTTTGCGGGGCATGGCGTCCAGCGGCCAGTGGAACCAGGGATCTTCTCGGGAAAAATGATTTTCTCCATACGAGTTTGATGGATTAAAATTTGATAATTGCAAGTATTGAATGCTTATAACATCTTATTTTTTTAAAATTTATATTAATAATTTAAATAAAATTTATCCACTTATTAATTTTAACTGGAATATGAATTTAAGATAATTGACGTAGATTTAAATTATTTAAATGATACAGAAATTCAATGTTTATATTAAAAATAATCATAAAATTTAAATTCAAGTTTGATCGTCATAAAAGTGGGACCAACTCAGGATTTTCAGAGATTTCATTACACGTGACATGTGACTGGCAAGATGAAATGGGCGACCTGATGAGCGCCAACCAACAACTAAAAAGCCTTCTCACCATTTCTTGTCTCCTTTGCTATATGTATCCTTTAAATAAAGCCATTATGTGATACTTCATCGGGTTCCTTAGTTTTGCTATGACGCCTTCCTGTGTGTTTTGGAGGATTATTGATAGAATATTAATTATATTGCTATTACCACAAGCACAGACACATTCTTATTATCATCTCTGATTCTGGAAAAACGATTAATCAATAAATGCGAGATCCCATAAAGAACGAATAATTAATCTATGGGATTAATCCTAATCAAATTAAAATCATCCCCTATCTACCAATTATCATCATTTTTTTAAAAATTTTATTTGTAGGCGATTGTAAATTATTTTTAATGATTATTTTAAAAGCTTAAATATCAAAATCTCTACGCTAGTAACGGGTTTCTCTCCTTTTTAACTACTGTTAATGTTAATGTTGTGACCATTAAATCCACGAATTTACTATTACAATGAATTTTTAATTATTAACTCACAACCCAATACAATTAGTTAATATCCCTAAAAAAATTTCAAAATATCCAAATATTCCCATCAATAATAAAAGAAAGCAGTTGGTAGACCATCTGATTTATATATGTTGATAAAAGATAAAAAAAGACCATACGGTTTATAGTTGTTAACTGAAGCGATCCCGCCAAGATACTTATCTAAAATAAGCAAGCCGATTATTCTCACTTCTTTACACTAGTGTGGGACCCAGCGGCGACACCATGTAAAGGAACAAGGCGTTTGCTTTTGGACTCTTCCACGTACACATACAAGTTATGTGAAGAATTATACTAGCATTATTTAATTGTCGTGCTGTCAAAAAGGTTTGTGCTTTTTTTGTAAATTATAATTTTTGAAATACTAAAAATATGATAATTAGATTTAAAAAAAGTTAGGCTGAAATACGGGTGTTTTAACCCTAAAAAAGTTGTTTTTGGTTCAATGTGACCAAATAAACAAAATAAACAAATTATATATATATATATATATTTTTTTTAAATTATATCAAAAAACATATAATTAAAAACAACAATTTGAACCCCCGCATTGATCTTCTGATTTCAGTATTCGAGAAAATTCTGGGCTAGAACAGTAATCATACATTAAAAAAATATGTAGCAAATTGTACTATTCCGACTGATTTATAATTGTAATTGTGAAATGGGACTTTAATTTGAACCTAACTTAACTCTCAGTGAGATACAGTGCGGGCAAGATAAGTTGATGAAGGGGAGGTTTCGTAAATCAAGGAACTTTGTGATAGGCCAAGACATACAGGACTTGTTTTATTTTGTTCCCATTTTTTAAAAAAATTATTTTATAAACTAATTCTTAAAAATTGTTTTTAAAAAAATTATATTAATTTTAAAATAATTTTAGAATAAAAAATTAGTTAATAATGGCAATTACCAGTGATTAAGAGTAATAATAATACAATCAAATAAGCCTTGGTTTTTTTTTTTGGGTAATAAAAGGGGCCGAAGCCAAAATCACAAAGTCTAACTAGGGGGAATTTAATCCCATACAATCATTGTTAACAAGTGTCCTCACAAATTGAGGAGCAATATCGAGAAAGCAAAACCCAGCAGCAAGTGAGAGTGCTTCCTTTGCAAGCGCATCAGCAATCATATTTGCATCCTTTGATCTGTACTGTGGTCTAATATTCCAATCTCTGTTCAATAATCTCTTTACATTCAAGAAGGTAGCACTGGCGATGAACTGGCTACACACACACACACACACACACAAAACAAAGATACTAGTATGTGGTCCATTGATGCCCGTCGTGCTCTCATTACCCGTGATGAGTCCCATGTGGAAAGTCCGTTCCACCGAAGATCCCTTTGCATTGCACGGAAGTAAATTATTATTATAACAATAGCTCAAGGAAAATTGCACCAATTCAATAGTATTGATCAAATCATGACAATTAAAACATCCAAAAAATTTTGTTCAATTAATGATTTATTAAAATTCGGGTGGCTTCCTCTTTCTAAGGCGATATATTGTTGGCTGATGAATAAATTGAATTCAAATTAACCCTCAATTGAGAAATTTTTAGTTAGACTAGATGTGTCACGTCATTTGTATTCTGTTCAATAAAAATACAATATTTAAATATCATTAAATATAAATTGATTCTGATATTAATTATAGTAGAGTCAAGAAAGATAAAAAATTAAATATAAATTCTATTAAGAATAAAATTAATTAAAATAATATCACATAAAATTTTATTTAAATAAATTGAGACATTTTAATTAAACAGATCATAAATGATGTGGTGCATCCGGTTTATCTAAGAATTTCTCCTTTCATTTTCTTTAGGAAATAAGGGATATATATATATATATATATATATATATTGTTGACTGATAAAGGAAGGCAGACGATATTACTTTAAGGATTTTGATTTGGCAGAGGATTATCCAGACTTCACTGTTGACATCCCTTTGTTATAAGATTCAAACGCAATAGTGAGATATTAACGAATGAGGATGACGACATCCCTTACAATGCGGATGAAAGCATTCCTCTCTACAAATTTCTGAAGAGAACGATGAGGGAAAAAAAATATCTCAGAGGTTAGTTTGTATTACGGTATGGTTGTAGTTTTTTGGCCTTCCCATGTACCCACAGCATATAATAGTGAGTTTGAGACATTTGAATTCAGACGTCATTGGAATTGTTGATGATCTGAGAAAAAAAAAATGCAAAGTTTATGAGAGAGAAGAAGGGTTCAGATCAAAGTTGAAATTTTTTCTCAGAGATCTGAGGCATATTGCTGCATAACTTCTGATATCTTTTAATGTTCCGGAATTCTTTGTTTAATATCTATTTTTAGGAACGTGAGTTGATTTTTAATCAGGGGTAACGTGATCAAATGCACATTGCTTGATGGGATAGTCGATGAAACGTTCAAGAGTTACAATAGAAGGCATGACAAAGTTAAAGTTATACTGATTCAATTCTGTCTAGTCCCGTACATTGAAGGTATATATTCTTGTTATCTTAAAGTTAGCTAGAGTCCCTCAGATATTATGTTGTTATTAATTTGACTCTCTGACATCAGTTATTTAATTTATCCTGTTTCCATATGTAAAATAAAAATAAATTAAAAAATATAATAAAATTAAATGAATAAAATGAAGAATGGGTTTTTTATAATAAAACATAAAAAAATATCTTCAGAAATCAAATTAAAAATATATTTTCCTTTTCTGCTACCTCCAAATCTCCACAATTATGGCCCTATCAAATTAAATTCGTTTATTTGAATCTCAAACAATGAAAGCAAAAGTCAAATAAAAATTATTAAGGTTTGGATTTGATATAATCGGGTCATTGATTAAAAAAAACCCTAACAGGGTCTATAAAAGGATAGCAAGAACTGCAAGAGGAGGAAAAGAAGGGGCAGAAAATTTGAACAAGGGAAAAGGAGGGACAGAAAGAGTGAGAGAGAAAAATTGAAGGAAGGAAGGGAATAAGATAATTCTAATCAAGGTGAGTTTTTGGGCGTATCGTACTTTTTCCCTTTCATATTTGACAGGTTATGTTTTTTTTTTTTTTGAAAATTTGGTCCCGAATGTTTTTGGATGTTCATTCTACTGTGAGATATATTGCACATCTTTTTTTTTTTTGTTAAATCCTGCCTATACTGATTTAATCACTTTAGCCTCTCATTATACACGGCATTAACAACGTCCAAATTACGCTTGATGCATTCCAATATTGCCAATGACAAATCTCGTTGCTACAACTTTTGGACTGGTTGAATTCACGGAGAGAGAGAGAGAGAGAGAGAGAGAGAGGATTAGGATTTTGGGGAAATAGGGAAAAGAAAGGGCTTGGTCAGTCGGTGGAGACAGACAGGTAAGAGCGTTGAGGGAATAACATGATTCTGCTCTTTCCTGGGTCAGAGAGAAATAAAAGGAAAAAAAAAAAGAAAAATACTTGAGGTATGGAGTGGACTGTGGAGGAGAACTGGACCTCTAGAGCTTGTCTCAAACTTCGTGCTCGCCTTTTTATTCAAAAAAGAAAATGAAGCTATATATAGATATATAGGGGTGTGTGTGTGTGTGTTGGGTCTATAATCATTTCCTCTTCAATAGCTCTTTTTAACTAACAGTGTTTGTCTTCTGCCTCATTCCTTTTTCTTCCATTATGTAATGGAGAGAAAGGAGTGAGACGGAAGACAAAGACTGCTAAAGAGGAGATAAGAGGTTCAGGTGCCAACAAGGCATTAGAGGTAAGTATACCCTTAAATAAAATATGGTGACTTTTCTTCTTCATGTTTCATGTCCCCACATTGTGGAGTAACCTACTTTTTCTCTGGTCTTGTTCCCGCTTGCAATTGCCGCCCCCAACTCCCACTTTTCTGTATATATATTCATATCACTGTGACACAGACTCTTGAATCTAAATATTTGGTATACGCAATGTTAAGCTCTCAGTACTTTTAGGTCATCGGCGTTTACAAGTTCCAAGCAATCCTCGGCCAGCGTCACTTCCCCAGTCTCCGCCCTACAGGTAAAGTCTGTAAGTTCCTTGCATATATATACATATAATAACCAAATATCATATCTGCATCATCATATCATTTCATGATATAATTTCCCATATTAATTTGACGGCAATGGTTTTGGGGCCGAAGCTTGTGCTAACAAGATCCGGTTGCCAAAGAGACGCCCCGGATGAATTCCTGTGACGCTGGCTTTTTGCCAGCCTTTCTCCTCTTCCTATTTTGGCCAGGCAATTTCGCGGGGTTCATGGCCCTTTATCTTCATCTCCTCCCTCCTCCTCCTTCTTGGTCGTCCTTGTCTTTCTCCTCCTCCTCCTCCAACTCCTCTGGCAAGCCTCCTCCTCCTCCTCCTCCTCCTCCTTTCTTCCTCTTCTTCGTCGATGTCCTCCTCCTCCTCCTTTGGCCAGCCCTCTTCTCCTTCTTCTTCCTCTTCCCCTTTATCTTCATCTCCTCCCTCCTCCTTCTTCTTGGTCGTCGTTGTCTTTCTCCTCCTCCTCCTCCGGCCAGCCCTCTTCTTCTTCCTCTTCATCGTCGTCGTCTTCTTCATCCGATCCCTTCCTCCTCCTCCTCCTCTCCTTCAAGCTATTTCTGACCTCTACCTCTTGTTCTACGGCCTACTGGGTTGTCCATCAAGGAGGGTCAGGTGAGTTCGCGAGGTTCATGCCCCATGTTGACAGCGCAGCCATGAGGAAGAAGCATTGAACCAAGCTGTGGCGATGGCAGACATGGCGGCGGTGAAGGAGGACGAGGAGGAGGATGCAGTGGTCTCTGGATATAGCAGTAGTTAGGCATAGGAGATTTGACGGCGATAGTTTTGGAGGTCATACACGTGGTGTCAGGATCCGGTTGCCAAAGGAGCACCGAATTGAACCCTGTGACTGTGAATTCATCTTTTGGCCACCGTCTTCGCCTCCTTCTTGTCCTCCTACTTCTCCTCCTCCTGCTGCTGCTTCCTCTTCAAGCTCTTTCTGAGCTCTGCCTCAGGTTTACAGCCTCCTGGGTTGGCCAAAAATGAGCACGTGACGAACAGAGCTCTGTGTATGGACAATCTTTGCTTTGGTTTGGCCTTTTTGGTTTTGATCCTCTAATTTCCTCTCGATTGATCTCCCCAATTCTTGGTCGGTTTGGATCACGTCATGTCGCCCCGTAGATAGAAAGTGAAGATTGAAGGGAGAGAGATAAGGGAGGCGAGACTTGGAGAAGAGACAATAGGGAGTGGGTTCATCGCGTCATTTTGTGCTATAATTACTTGTGCTACATGCGGAAAATCGTTTCGCTTTGCATGACAAAAAAAAAAAATGAAGACCCAACATTATGATATTCTTGGATCGGAAAGTTGGTTTCTCTGAATCAGACAAGATTGTAGAGAGACAGAGAGAGAGAGAGAATACGGGAGGTGAGAGTCGGAGAAGAAAGAGAACCTTGCAGAGAGAGATACTGAGGGTAGGAGGTGATTGGAGAGAAGAGAGAGAGAGAGAGTGAGGTGAGGCTTGGAGAAGAGAGAGAAGAGGAAAGTGTGTGAGGGAGGTGGTTGGAGAAGAGAGTGTCCGTGAGGGAGAGAGACGTGACGGAGGTGACTGTGTGATTCGAAGAAGAGAGAGAAGGTGAGAGAGAGCGTGTGAGAGAGACGTCAGGGAGGTGACAGTCAGATTCGGAGAAGAGAGAGAAGATTAGGGAGGGAGACAGTGAGGGAGGTGGTAGGACAAGAGAGAGAAGATTAGAGAGGGAGACAGTGAGGGGGAGGTGACACTCGCGGACTCGGAGAAAAGAGTCAGAGAGAGTCGGAGGTCAGTGAATGAGAGGACAGAGTAATGAAAATCACTAGCTGCTCTGTCACCCGCTGGTAGTTTTGTTAACGGAGACGACGAAGTGTTGCATGACCAAAGGCGGCGGGATAGGCCATATGAGAGGCTGGCCTACTATATCTGGGAATTTGACCTTTGCCTTAATATTTTTTAATCAAATAAATAATCACTCACCTACAAAGTACCAATATATGCCGTGATATCCGAGAATATTTGACCATCAATCGTATCATTCACATTCATTGATATAACTGTGTATCTTTTAATTGTTCAGTTCCCAGCCATATATCTACATGGGTGTGTTAAAGCTTATCCTGTCATTTCGAGCTGGTTCATCTTATATAACTGTGGATCAAAGGCTAATATTTATGCAGGATGAGTTCTTCAAACAATTCCAAGGGAAAAAAGTGCATCGGAGATTATTTAGGTTATGGAACAATGTATGTTTCTGATAACAACAAAAATAAGAGTAAGGAAAATGGAAAAAATGCATCAAAATGCATTGGAGATCACATGGGTTATGAAACCCCGTATGCTTCCAAAGATAATGATAATGGAAATAATGCATCAAAGAGGAAAAGCTGCATAGGAAATTATATGGGTTATGGAAGGACAAATGTCTCTGATGATAATGGAACCAATCCATCAAAGGGAAACAGCAAGAAGCCGACCATAGGCGACATGATGGGCTACGGCAAGAAGCCACCTCCCACCAACAACTAAAAAGCCTTCTCATCATGTCATCACTCCATTGTCAGTGGTCTTGTGTTTGTTTCTTGTCTCCTTTGTTATATGTATCCTTTAAATAAAGCCGTTTTGTGATACGTCATCGTGTTCCTTAGTTTTATTATGACGCCTTCGTGCGTGCTTTGGAGGACTATTATTAGAATATTAATTATATTGCTATGACCACAAGCGCAGACACATTCTTATTATCATCTCTGATTCTTTAAAAACCATTAATCAATAAATGCGAGATCCCATAAAGAACAAATAATTAATCTATGGGATTAATCCTAATCAAATTTAAATCATTCCCTAGCCACCAATTATCATCTTATTTTTTATTTTATTCGTAGACGATTATAATTATCTTTAATGATTTTTTAAAAAGCTTAAATATGAAAATGTCTACACTAGTAACCGGTTTCTATTCTTTTTAACTACTGTTAATGTTAATGTTGTGACCATTAAATCCACGAATTTACTATTACAATGAATTTTTAATTATTAACTCACAACCCAATACAATTAGTTAACATCCCTAAATCTTTCTTCAAAATATCCAAATATTCCCATCAATAATGAAAGAAAGCAGTTGGCAGACCATATGCTTTATACATGTTGATAGAAGAAAAAAAGACCATGTGGTTTATACTTGTTAACTGAAGCGATCCCACCAAGACACTTACTTACCTAAATTAATTTAGCCGATTATTCTCACTTCCTTACACGAATGTGGGACCCAGTGGGGTGACCATAGAGAGAAAGACGACGTTTACTTTTCGACTCTTCCACGCACACATAAAGGTTAGGGGAAATTACAGGCAAAGGTTATTGGAGGAATCTATTTATAGACACGTGCCAAATAATTTTAAAATTATGCTGTAATACTAAGGGATCACAACATAATTAATTTTTAATATAAAAAGATAAAATTACACCTCAATTTTTTAAAGAACTCCTCAACCACCCTGCTAAACCAACCATTTGAGCTTCGACGACGGTAGTTGGACTACAGCTAGAGCCCCAACGTCGATCACTAGACTGGCAAGGGAGGTAGATTATTTTTTTTAAAGTGGCCAAGGTGGGGTTTGAACTCACATCTTCTTAGCCACCAAAAAAATTATTAGTCACTAAGCTAACAAATCTTTTCAATTATATAATGCAAAGTTATATATATATATATATACTTAACTCTCTTTTCACTTTTTATGCTAACATTTATCGAAAGCTCAATAATTACTTATCATTTTACAAATTGGTATTTGTTAAGCTACTAATGAGATTCGTTAAAAAATTTAATACGTACTAATTTTTACAAATGTTTACTTGTTTTTATTACCAAGAATGACAAGTTTTCATTAGCAATTTAACAAATAATCATTTGTGAGATAACAAGCCCTATTACTAGCTTTGAAATTTTCTCTTGATAATTTGATAAGAAAATTTTAGCAAAATAACAAGTTCCTATGAGGTTTTAACATATAAAATGTTAGTAATAAAAATAAGTAAACATTTATAAGAACCACTCCATATTAAATTTTTTTAACAAGTCCCCATTGATAATTTAATAAGTAATCATTTTTAAAATGACAAACCCTGTTATATTTTAAAATTTTCTTTCACTTCTTATGCTAATAGTTATCAGGAGCTTAATAGTTATTTGTTATTTTACAATGAAAACTTGTTAAATTAATTAATAGGACTTGTCATGATAAATTAAGTAACAATGACAAGTCCTATGACTAGGACTGTTACTGAATTTATTTTGCTAAAATTTTTGATGTCAAAAGCTTATAGGAACTTATTATTTTACTAAAATTTTCTTATCAAGTTATTAAGAGAAATTTTTAAAGCTAGTAACGGGGCTTATCATTTTCCAAATAGTTATTAAATCACTAATAGAAACTTATCATTCCTAGTAATAAAAAGAAGTAAGCATTTATAAAAATTAGTGCATATTACATTTTTTAACAAATCTCATTAGTAGTTTAACAAGTAGTTATTTGTAAAATGATAAATAACTATTGAGCTCCTAATAAATGTTGGCATGAGAAGTAAAAACAGAGTTAAGTGTATATATATATATATATATAAACTTTGCATTATAAATTTGAAAGGAAAGTGGTTAACAATTCTTTTGGTGGCCAAGAGGATGTGGGTTCAAACCTCACCTTGGCTACTTAAAAAAAAATTAGTCTACCTCCCTTGTCGATCCAGTGATCAGTGTCGGAGCTTCGGTGACAGTCTGACTATCACTATCGGAGCTCAGATGGCCAGCTCGATGGTGTGGTTCAACTATTGGCGTCAGAGCTTCGGTGGCTGGTGGCTGAGGAATTTTTTAAAAAAATGAGGGGTAATTTTGTTTTTTCACATTAAAAATTAATTACGTTTTGATCCTTTGGTATTGTAGCATAATTTTAGAATTATTTAATACTTGTCCGTAAATAGATTCTTGCAGCAGTCCTTAGCTATAAAGTTCCCTAAAAGTTAGATGAAGAATTATACTAGTATTATTTAATTGTAGTGCTATCAAAAAGGTTTATGCTTTTTTTATAAATTAGAATTTTTGAAATACTTAAAATATGATAATTATATATTAAAAAAAGTTAGGGAGAAATACGAGTGTTTTAACCTTAAAAAAGTTTTTTGGCTCAATGTGACCAAATAAAAAAATTATATAAAAAATATAAAATATAAAATAACAATTTGAACCCCCACATGGATCTTCTGATTGCGGTATCCGAGAAAATTCTGGGCTAAAAAAATAATCATACATTTAAAAAAAAGTAGCAAATTGTACTATTCGGACTGATTTATAATTATAATTGTTATATGACACTTTAATTTGACCCCAACTCTTAGTGAGATACAGTGCAGTCAAGATAAGTTGATGAAAGGGAGGTTTCATAAACCAAGGAGCTTTGTGATAGGCCAAGACATACAGGACTTGTTTGATTTTGTTCCCATTTTTTAAAAAATTATTTTATAAACTAAATTTAAGAAATTGTTTTTCAAAATTTTTTTATTAATTTTAAAATAATTTTAAAATTAAAAATTAGTTAATAATGATAATTACCAGTGATTCATAATAATGATAATACTTCTTATGAAATTTTTAAATAAATTTCTCTATCTTAAAATATAAAACATTTTAGATAGATTAAAGTTTCATTAAATATATTAATTTTATTATCATTTTTTCTATAATTAATTTTTATTTTTTTAATATATTAAATGATAAATATTTTTAAAAGTTTATATTTTTATTTTTTAAAAAATAAAATTATTTAATATATTTAATAAAATTTATTGATAGATATAATTTTATTTGAAATGCCCATAAGATAGAGGGAGTACAATCAAATAAATGAGGAGTTTTCACACACCAAAAAATAAATGATAGACAAAAGAGATGAATGAGCCAATGAGGAGGCATGCTGTCAGAGAACCTTTCACTACTTTTGGTCTTTTGGATACCACTACCAGTGGTCCGGTATTGTCTCCCTCTCTCTCTCGCGTCCCTCGCAGGGTGGGTCCCATGTGGAAAGTCGGTTCTACCGAAGATCCCTTTGCGAATTGCGAGTTTTTTCGGAGCATGGCATCCAGCGGGCAGTGGAACAAGGGATCTTCTCGGGAAAAATGATTTTCTCCATGCAAGTTTGATGGATTTACATTTGATAATTGCAAGTGTTTATATCATTTAAATTGTTAAAATTCATATTAATAACTCAGATAAATCTATTTACTTATTGATCTTAAATGAAAGTAAGAATTTAAAATTATTTATATAAATTTTAATTATTTAAATAATATAGACATTCAATATTTATATTAAAAACAATTATAAAATTTAAATTTGAGTTTGATTGTCATAAAAGTAGGACCAACTCAGAAACTTCACAGGTCTTGTGGATAAAAATTACATGTGACAAGTGACTAGCAACATGAAACAGAGAGAGAACAAATTTATATAAAAAATTCCTAACCAAATCTCCGGTCATGGAAGTGGAGGTTATAACGTATTAATGTACTACCCTCATCTCAAATTATAAAAAATTTTTGGAAGTGATTTGTTGTTTTAAAATATAAAACAATTTCATAAAAATAAAGTTTTATTAAATGTATCATTTCAATAGTACTCTTCTTTCATTATTTTTCTCTCTCTAAATATTTACGGTCATATTAAATGAAGGGTAGTTTTAAAATTTTATAATTTATTTTAAAAATATTTTATTATAAAGTGTATTTAATGAATTTTATTGATATACATTTTTAATTTTTTCTGAATTTGTCTTGTAAATTTGGATGGAGGGAGTACTTTTTGAAAAAATAATAATAATTGATTTTATAATATTTAGCCCTATTAAAAATTAAAACATGTAAAAATTGAAGTGGTAAAGAGAAAAATGCATAAAGTCTAATAAAATATATGAAAAATAATGAATACGGAAACATATGCATGAATGAGGGTGATTAAAGTGGGCATTATGCGGTCAACGGGTTAAGTTAATTAATGAAGTAGACAGATGTTGGAAGGCTTGTGAAAAAGTGATTAAAGTGGGAATTATGTGGTGATTAAAGTGTGGATTATGTGGTCAACAGGAGAAAGCATGGATCCGATATTTTGTAAACTAGACTCAAACCCTGAGCGTTGCACGGATGTCAGTGAATTATTGTGATAACAATAGTTCAAGGAAAATTGTATCAATTCAATAGTGTTGATTATGATAATTAAAATTAAATATTCAAATTTTTTTGTTCAATTTATGATTTATTAACATTTGGGGTGATATATTATTGTTGACTGATGAATAATTGAATTTAAATTAACTCTCAATTGCTTCCGGAAAACGCGGTTATATATTGTTGACCGCTGAAGGAAGGAAGACTATATTGCCCTAAGAATTTTGATTTTCTAGAGGATTATCCAGATATCAGGTTGTGAAATTTTCACATTCTTTTTTTTAAACTATGAATGCAGTGTCTTTTCATCTAAAAAATAAAAAAGCTAATAAAAAGCTAACAAATAAGAATATTTTTTAAATTTGAGAAATATAGATTAAACATATAAATACAAGTAGTGACAAGAAACACAAACATATAAATTATAAATAAAAATACCAAAATAACACAAATAACCATC